AGATTATGGCATAGTTCAGTGTACTATTGTTAACTTCTCTGTGCGATTTGCAAACGAGAATTTTAATCCTAACGTGATTTGCATTCCTCAGAATTTCGCAGTGTCCTTACGGAACAAAAGTAACATTTCTTATCTAAGGAATCTGCCTTCAGCTTGACGTTCGTCTTGAGTTTTAACCAACTTATTAACTAACTGTGGTTTTGTTACAGCTTACTCTTGATTTTTCAGTTTTTCACGTGAACGCAAATTTCAATTTATTAGAACCTTTTGTCAACAAACCTGAAAAAGGCTGTCCTTAAACGGGAATATAAACAAATACGCGCAGTGAAAACAAGAAGAGGGATCTCGACAACGTTACTATCGATGGAGCATGTAATGACACTAGTGGGGACATGCTGAAACTCAGCACCCTTAGCAGACTTGGGTTTCATAGCACCGGATCACTGAATGCAACGGTGGTTTCCAAAATCTCTGTAGGTGTTTGGACCCAGTTAACAAAGGGGTCGGGCATCACTGTCTAAGAAACTAAAAACCCAAGTAATGTGGTAAAATCAGCTGATGATTTGGCCTCGCATTCTACTGAAGAGATCCGTGAATCTGACTCCATTTAGATTGTACGAATGTTTGCTATCACCTATTCTCGTATATCATCGTCGACTTAAATCGCGTTATCCAAAAACGGAATTAAATAAGTCGAATAACGAGAATTGACTTGAGAATACATATACTTTGTACATAAAGCGAATGAAGCATAGCAAAGTAAAAATGACACGTTTGGAAGATGGCTGGGAAGCCAACTCCATCTTCGTCAAGCGTTACTCAATATTTATAGTCAGACAAAATAAAGCTACAGACATGTGACTAATAGGATAAGAAGGGCACACACATATACGCTCATATAAAAACAGTCAAGACTGACAAGCGTATAACTGACAAGGTCAAAGTATGGCTCGAGTAGAATGAATAAAATGGGATATCCGAAAGCTAGAATAAGGTATATGGGCTTGCCATAATAACTGACACTACACTACCCCGCAAGAGTGTTTATCCGGCCAGCAAAGAGCTTGGGAATGGGAAACAGGCTTCATCCTCCGAACAACAAGGTCCTTAACCCAAAAGTACCAAGAAACTTGTGAACAATAATGGTTCGTGATGATTCTTCCATAATCATGAACCTTAAAGACAGCCCTGATCTCCCTATCAGCTTGCAGGGCAAACATGATAGGGTGCTCTGGGAAGAATTAGACAATAAGCTGGAACTTTCAAAAACAGAGCCTATTATGGTCACACGGCTCACTCGGGGAAAAAACTCTAACCATCCAAGACTGCTTCGTGTAACACTCGCTAACGCTACAGATGTAAAGGATATACTAATAGCTAGTCACTTACTGAGATCAGGTGGGAATGTAGGAATACTGCTTGACATATTGTATTCTGAGTGCAATCTCATCCGAAATATCCCTAAAGGATCTCGCGAGAAGTTTTTCCGCGGGAGAAGCGTCATTGTGCATGGTGTATCGGAAAACAAGAACTTTGATATTTAGGAAATGACAATTCATCAAAACATTCATCAAAAATAAATTGACTCAACAAGTGGCGAGATTGGCAAGAAGGATGGAGATTCTAGACACTGGCTGATGGAGATAACCTTTTTATCCTCACATATTGCGGCTGCAACTCTTGAAGCACTTCGTGCCAACATAGGCCGGTTGCCAACCGGAATCCATATGCACCCAGATAAGCCACACGATGCCGGGATCAAGCACAAAGGCAATTTGAAGCTGACCACTTCACTTGATGGAGAAACAGTCAGACGCTTTCGCGCTTAGACTGGGTATTTACAGACGATAATGTTTATCAGATGACCATGTATTTGCATATCGGTACTGCGAGTCTGATTTTCATGAGTATTCCGGTACTTGACATTGGTCGATGTGCAAAATACTGTATTTATTCCGATATTAGTGTGAGGACCATTCAATACTGCGTAAAGCATGATGAATATATAATCCGGTTTTGCATGAACATCATTTAGTAGTTGTTTATTTGATAATAACTCCACCTGTAGCCCCTTTTAAGCTGCTGCCTGTCCTACGCCCTACAAAAAAGAGCAGGTTTGGGGTTAGAGACCCCATCCCGTAGAAAACTAACTCGCTAAAAAACGCCAACCAGAAAAAATAATTCGAACGTAAACTCTACCCTGGGAGTCAGAAGATCTTCATTTAGAAGAGTTATGACGCTTCATGATGAAAGCCGGGTTCCTTCGGAAGTTACGAGGCCGATGCCCCTTCTGACAACCAGAGCGACCATTTATTAAGGTAAATGGAATGTTCGTACAACGTGGGACACCGGAAGAGCCTTCCAGATTGCTGCAGAAATGAGAAGATACAACCTAGAGGTGCTTGGGATCAGTGAAACACATTGGACGCAAGTTGGACAACAACGACTAACTACAGGAGAGCTCCTGTTATACTCCGGCCATGAAGAAGAAAATGCACCACATACACAAGGAGTTGCATTGATGCTGTCCAAACAAGCGCAAAATGCACTTATAGGATGGGAATCTCATGGATCAGGGATCATCAAAGCCTCCTTCAAAACAAAGAACGAGGGTATTTCAATGAACATCATCCAATGCTATGCGCCTACCAACGACTACAATGAAGACACTAGAAATCAATTCTACAATAGGCTGCAGTCGATCATCGAGAAGTGCCCAACAAAGGACCTGACTATTCTGATGGGAGATTTCAATGCCAAGGTTGGAACGGACAACACTGGATATGAAGACATCATGGGACGACACGGACTGGGAGGAAGGAACGAAAATGACGAGAGATTTGCAAACCTATGTGCCTTCAATAAACTGGTCATAGGCAGGACTATATTCTCACATAAATGCATTCACAAAACCACATGGACTTCACCGGATCACACTACACAAAACCAAATCGACCATATCTGCATCAACAAAACGTTCAGGAGGACGATGGAAGACGTGAGGAGCTGATATAGCATCAGATCATCACTTACTGGTCGACAAGATGAAATCGAAACTCAAGAAGCACTGCACAACGGGGCGGACAACATCACAAATGTTCAATACAACCTTTCTTCAGGATACTGACAAACTCAACAAATTCAAGATAGTCCTCAGCAACAAGTTCCAAGCCTTTCATGATCTACTCGATGGAGAAGGAACTACTGTGGAGAGCAACTGGAAAGGGATCAAAGAGGCAATCACTTCAACATGTCATGAGGTCCTGAGCCACAAGAAGCACCATCACAAGGAATGGATCACTGTTGATACACTGGATAAGATTCAAAAAACGAGGAACAAGAAAGCAGCAATCGATACCAGTCGAACAAGAGCAGAAAAAGCCAAGGCACAAGCTGAATACACAGAAGTAAACAAACAAGTGAAGAGAGGCATCAAAACCGACAAACGTAAATATGTGGAAGATTTAACAACGACGGCGGAAAAGGCTGCAAGAGAAGGAAACATGAGACAATTGTATGACACGGCAAAGAAACTCTCTGGAAATCGCCGTAAACCAGAAAGACCAGTGAAAAGCAAGGAAGGCAAGATAATCACAAACATTGAACGACAACGAAACAGGTGGGTAAAACACTTCAAATAACTCTTGAATCGACCAGCCCGACTGAACCGACCCAACATCGCAGCAGCACACACGGACCTCCCAATCAATGTTGGCCCACCAACAATTGAAGAAATCAGCATGGCCATCAGACAAATCAAGAGCGGGACCAGACAGCATTCCAACAGAGGCACTGAAAGCAGATATAGCAGTAACTACAAAGATACCTCAAATTCTCTTCTGCAAAATTTCGGATGAAGAACAAGCACCAACAGACTGGAGGAGACACGTGATCAAGATACCTAAGATCGCAGCAAGTGTTAAAACCACAGCGACATCACTCTTCTCTCAATACCAGGGAAAGTTTTCAACAGGGTATTGTTAACCAGAATGAAGGACTCCGTAGACGCCCAACGAGTCCAATCGCAATCGACAGAAAAGATTTGGAAGATGTAAAAACCTTTAAACATCTGGACAGTATCATTGATGAAGGCGCGGACCGGCAAAGCAAGAGCAGCATATTTACAACTGAAGAACATCTGGAACTCAACACAACTGTCAACCAACAGCAAAGTCAGAATTTCCAATACAAATATCAAGACAGTTCTACTGTATGTGGTGGAAACCTGGAGAACTACGAAAGACATCATCCAGCAGATACATGTGTTTGTTAACAGCTGTCTACGCAAAATACCTCGAATCCGTTGGCCAGACACTATCAGCAGCAACGTACTGTGGGAGAGGACAAATCAGATCCCAGCGGAGGAAAAAATCAGGAGGAAGTGTGTAGGACACACATTGAGGAGAGCACCCAACTGAGTCATAAGGCAAGCCCCCACTAGAAATCCCCAAGACTAGAGAAAACACCACGTCGAGAAATGGAGACAGATATGAAAAGAATGAACAAAAATTGGATAGAACTAGAAAGGAAAGCCCATGATAGAGTGGGTTGGAGAATGCTGATCGGCGGTCTATGCTCGACTGGGAGTAACAAGTGTAAGTAAGTTATTTGATATGTAGTTAGTCATTTAGTGAGATCCTAAAACAATATTGAGCAGTTGATGACACTAAACGGCAAACGTTTGGACCGAACATTGAGGGATTTGATGTGCATCATGTTGAACAAGTGTTTACACTGTGACAGACAGAGCTCAACAAGAACAAGATTTTGGTGTGTAAACATCTAAGCAAATTTCATAAAGCATTATATATGTATGTTTCTCAGTAAAATAAACCGACTTTTTTTCTCAACTATTTTTCCTATAATTGGTATCCTTTAACTTTGTATGAATAGTGTATTACTATTCAAACAAATCCGTTGGCCAGACACTATTATCAGCAACCTACTGTGGGAGAGGACAAACCAGATCCCAGCGGAGGAACAAATTAAACAAATACATATACACTGAATTATTCAAAGCATTTATCATTTATTTAATGCATAAATTGTTTCTTGTTATTAAAATATTTAATCAAAAAAAATAAACAAAACTTTATATTAAAAAAATAAATCAATTAAAAATAAAATGATGCATAGATTAGATTATTATCATTTTGAAACAATAGTAACATAATGTACTACTAACGAAGATCCACTTGTTTTGTTTTTTTTAATGAAATCCATCACATTAACTGGAATAGGGAAAGTGACACATAGATACATGACATACGAAAGAGAAAAAAAAAGTAATATCACCTAACGAAAAATATCGATTGAGTGTGAAAAGTTAAAAGAAAAATGCACAAAATGAGTTGTATCAAAATGATGATAAGAATAATAATTATTAGGGGTAATAAGATTACTGTTTTTTCCCCGCCATAACAACCAATTCATTAAGTGACATATGAAAAGGGGAAACAGAATTGGCTAATTGAATTAACAATATCCGTTTTGTAATTGCACCCCCCGCCTGAAAAGTTATATAAATTGATTGATAGAAATTACCAGAAAATATTTAAATAAAAAAGATACTCATTGGTTTTACAGAACTAAAAAGAAATGAATACAAATACAACTTTACTAGTGGGCAGTCAACTGTAGAAAAAAAAACAATTAGAATATTTACAAATAGACAGTAGTCAGATGATATACATTAACGAAGTGAATATATGCAGGAGAAATGATTGAATTGTTTAAATATTAACTACATGTGGATTGTGTAATTTCAGTTGAAAACTTTTTGAACACTCGAATACAACCATTACAATCAGCTGAAACGACTACTTCACCTAAATAAACAAATGTTTCCCGATTTAGATCAGTAGTAGTAATTGATGATTGATTTGGATTTAATAGTCTATGACGAGGAATACTACTGCTACCATCATTAATATAACCACTAGCACAATTGCTATTACTCAAATCAGAATGATTTGAAATAGTGAATGAATTCAATGGTTTTCTTGTTGAACATGATTTATTCAATACTAAATTTGGATTTGGACTGAACACAGCTACTGTAACCATTGTATCATGGGCTTTAATCGCTTCCCAACAATTATTTCTATCTTTACGTATACGTGAAAATCGAGATATTTTGTCAACATCTAAAGATTTTTGCCAAATATAAAAGAATGCATTTTCGGATCCTGAGATTAGATAACGACCAGTTGGACTGTTGTTAATTGTCAAACAAAATGAAAACAAAACAAATAAATAAACATAAAATCCTTAAGAAAATATGAAAGATATAACTCACTATCAATAGATTGGAGATTGAAAATAATATATGAAAAAGTAACCTTTATAAATAATATCAATAAGCATGATCACAAGATTGATCTTTAACTTACATTTGGTCATTGTTATTGATATGGGCAATCGAGAATAAAACCAGATACTAAGGTTATCTACTGTGTGAGTGACCTGTTAAAATTCACATTCTCCAATCGATTAAATTTCAAATGAATTCTAATAATGTTTATTTTAAAATTTGTGTTTATGTTTAGATCTCGATTGAAAAACCTATTCTCCTAGTCAATTGTGTTGTATTTAACTAACATTTTAGGTATGACTTACAATAATAATAATAATTCAGTTTTACGAATAGTTATCAGTCAGCCAAATAGTATCATTACTTATGTGGTGATTTCAATTCATGTGACTGTAACTTCCTTACATCACTAGGTCACCGAAATGTAGGAGATTTTCCTACTCGTTTGGATACTCATTTAGACTTCGTTTTCATTAATGATGTGGGTATATATGTGACTCGTAAACGTGCTCCATTGTCTAGCTCGGATCACTGTATAATTCGTATTCTACCTAAAGTATATGGAAAGCATGGGAAGAGTACACTCTTACATCAAACCAAGAAAGTCAAATATAGGAATTACTCAGAAGAAAATATCCGAAATCTGAAAAACATGTTTCATACGACTAACTGGGAATTATTTACAGATGACTCACTTGGAAAACACTACTGATGTTATCACATGTTACCTTAAATTCTGCTTTGATATTTGTTGTACCACTGAAACCATTTTTGTAAGTTTTGATCGACTTACATCACAACTAAAACGACTACGCAGGGTGGAAGAATGTACGAGGATAAAAACTCTAGTGAAGTTCATAAGCTAAATGGTCTGATAAACCTAGAGATTAGATGTCTCAACTCTATGTTTACTCAAAAACTCTCCAAGTATGTGGAAACTCTTTAAAGAACTTACAGGTGACAGACAGTTTAGAAGCGATAACCAGCTGAATGTTTGTGACTTAAATAAGTATTTTGTACGTCAGTCATCTGATGTAATGCTCCCTTCATCCACAGGTTTTTGCCTCATATTGATTGTTGGTCTGTTGTTAATTTTCTCATACGTAATCCGTCTAAATATCAAGACGTTAACTTGAGCATGAGACATGAACGGCATTTAAACTCAAATTTGGGATCCCATAATGCTTGTGTCATTGGAGACCTTGATAAACACAGTATCGAAGATCAATGATCTTAGTGTTACCTTTTCCTCTGATCTCTCTTGGTCTTCTCACGTTTTATTGTTATCGAAGAACGATTTCCGTCTGACTTACTAAATCTTTTGAGGTCATAATTAATATGGTTGTGGATAGACATCTAAAGTCATGCAAACTCCTGGCAGGTGTTATCTTATCAGATACTAACCATCCCCTTCACTCATATCTTTCTCCTTGTATATCTTCTGGTAGAACGAAACGTAATTACATTGAAATCCATGCGCGCAAGCAAATATACTCTGTGACGAACAGGTTGTTAAAGTTAACGTAGTCAATAACCTTCAGTCTTAACATGTTTCTAATTTGAAAAGTTGTACAGTTTTTCAGATTTTTTTTAAAACATTTTCCCCCCTTTCTTTTTTGTCTTTGTTCTTTTGTAAAAGAAACTTGTTGAAATACCCTGTGCTGAGAATTCAATATTGTACCGAAATATAATATTGACTAAAGCCATTAATAATAATAATCCATTGAGAAACTTTTTATACATGGTTTTAAACAGTTTGAAAAACGTGTACTATTATATCAATATCTTAAAAGCATCCTACATAACAATTAGAAATATATGAACTCAAAGAGGAAGGTTAACTTTAGAAATTATGAAATGAATCAGTTATGGAAAGAATCACTTTTCACTTAAGATATTGCAATTTTTATAATCATTAAGAAGTTAGTTTTATTCACACTTCAAATAATTTATTACAGATTATCAAATGGTATTTTCTCAATTACTTAATTCATACACTGTATACTTCAATAAGGAAGCTTAATATCGTACTTATATATACACATAATTGTGAAACAGAGTACATAACACCTAAGCAAATAAGTGTTAGTTTAAACAAACCTTAAACAGCATAAATCAAATAACAAATAACAGTTAATTTACGATGATAGTAAAAACCAATCAGGAAACCAATGAACACCAATCTCTAAGTGCTAAAAGTTGAGTTGAGAGTATTATGATTTATCTAAATTAAAGAAATAACTATTTTGAAGTGCTTGATATTCCTCTTCCCCTCCATCGAATCATCTAAAATCATTTACACAATCAAACGAGAGTCTTCAAACGTAACACGAATAAAAAACGTGCAAACTGTATATGATTTAACAATTCAGCGCTTCAAGCCTGAACTCTACGTGCAAAAACAATGCATACTTCTGATCAGTGAAATGTTTTGATTCTACTACACTTTTTCATCTTTGGACTATTTATGCAACCGTTTTGATGTACTTGAATTTCTCAAATATTTAATGACAATCTACTTCTATTTTTCAATAGACTGCTATTATAAATACAGTTTCAACAAATGATATCTTCGAAAACGAAATTATCTTCATTGAATCGGTTTTAATCCTTCAACATTCATATTTGTAAACCATTCTAACCAAAATGTATATATTGTTTATCTCAAGTAAAAAATTAGACAATAAACAAAGTATATACTATTTGTATCTTCTCTTTGTTTAATTAAGGTATGTGACAGTTGAATGAGTTTTCATATGAAATTATTAACCAAATATGGATGGTGGCTAGCAGCGGAATTCAGGGTGCTCGTTTCTTTCTATTTGGGACTGGTCGGTTGCATGTATATGCACCCTAGAGTTGATGTTCACCCTGGGACTAGAACGCAGTACCGTTAGCTCAGTACATGATGGACAAATGGCAAGAAGAGACAGATCAAATGGAGCCCTATACATTGGTAGGAGGATCTAAACAACCAATATATATATATATATATATTAACCAAATATTTTAATCATTCTGTCTACTAACTATAAAGCTAAAAGTTCAAAACTGATCAAAAACCAATCTCCATGGCATTAAATCATACCATATAAACAGAGCAATTCAATGTTTAGTAATATGAAAATATATGCATATATTCCGACTTTTGAATTGTTAACACTGAAAAAGATGTTATTTAGGGAAAAAAACAATGATATAAAACAGAATAAATAAGCTAGCAAAGAAGAAAAGACCAAAATAGAAATAAAAATATGATAGAAGAACAACAACAATAAACTGCCTACTTACCTGAAAGATGCACGTATTTGACTAGTCTCATTTAGAAACCCACGATATTTACATAATGTATGATAGTCACGAGCATCGACTAAACGTAAACGTGAATCATTTGATGTGACTAAAATCTAGAGATAAGCAAGAATAATATGATAGTTATAGAATCCTAGAAAACATTTCACAGTACTGGCTAAAATTCAATGCTAGTTGACAACTTTTGAGGGGAAACCTACTCACATAGATTATTAATTGGTGCACATGGGCTCCAGGATCCTAAGAAAACAAATAGCGTATGAACCAGTCGTTGGTCACCGGCTACCATGGAACTGCATCTCCCTGCGATGCTCCATTGCCTTGTGGATTAGACCTTCAGGTCGAAGGCTCCGAGTGTGACTCCCTAAGAAAACCACCTGCTTCGGTTTGAGCACCCGGACAGTATCGCAGTCCACGCACAAATAAAATAAAGATGACGATTTGTGTGGCGCATATGTATTTGGTGCCTCCTTGTACCAATATTTATGTGTTAAAATAAATTAATATACAAGAATAGTAGTTAGTAATGTTATATCCCTAGGTGATTTATTTCAACTTATGGACAGATGAATGAATTTAATTTTCCCTAATTATTCTGTCACTCATAATATTTCCACTTAACAATTATTCATGAGCAACTCTGAACATGCATTATACATCTGTGTATAAAAGTATGTAGGCTTCTATCCCCTTTCTGTATTTTTTTATCTGACTTATAAAAATTGAATCACATTATCAGTTTCGGAGTCTATGTATATCACTGAATTGCAATGCTTTATACAACCGCTTCATCTTTTACTTCCATGTCTGTCATTTAATTTCAGTATGTCTAAAATATACGTAACATAAATACAATTTGTATTCGACATTTGATTAATCGTGTTAAATTGACAGAAAATAATACAAAGTCCAGTGGGATAAAATACACTTCATTAGAATTAATATCGTTTTGTCTAGAATGGAGTCAAACAATGAACATCAAAATACAGCTTATCAAAAATTTTAAACATGCATTAATGTCTCAAATTAACTCGGCGCCCAAATATTGTGAAACTATTCGTTCAAATTTAGACGAAAGTTCTTATTTATGCATTAATTGATTAAGAAAGAAAAATCCCTATTTCTTAATTGTCACACTACAATGATAGCATATAACTCAAAAATCAAATTCAGATAAGACAGAAGTGTACACATTTAGATTCTATTAAAAATAACTGAAATAGTAAGTTATTTGTTGTTACCTTGTTAACTAATAAATAATTCAATATAGAAGTAGATATTATCAACGGAAAAGGACAAATTACATTGATTATATATATATCATAATCATTAAAGATATGTTTACATTTTCAATGAATTACTGTCAATGTATCAGCTTTTAACATTTTCTATATTGTAAGACAGAGTGATAAAACACAGGTCAAACACATCCTTATATTTTATTTAAACAATTTTGATTGTTACATTTTTATTTTGAAGTGATAAAATCAAATCAACTTATAAGTAGTATCATTAAAAATAATAAGAATAAGATGAAATAAATTAAAACATGAATACAGCATATATACGTACACTACGTACGTACACACATCTACACAGTATCTAATTTACTGTAAATTTCAATAATATTTTTGCCGCCACTAAATAGTTCATTTAAAGAAAAAGTAAAACGATATGAACAAATACTTATTTAATTAAACTAACTAATAAACAATATTTAAAACAATGTGTATTTATGTGAATTGTGACCTTATATAATTTATAGAAGAGATAAAATTGAATGATTATTATTATTATTATTATTATTATTATTATTATTATTATTATTATTATTATTATTATTATTATTATTATGAGAACCTATAATAATTAATAATATTAAAGATTAATACATTTATCAATCACTGAACCACTTTTTAATGAACAAGCAATAGACGTGAATATCTATATAAATAAATAAACTGTAGAATGAATATAAAAATAGACAATTTAAAAGCGTCGAACACAAATGACATTTTGGTTGAGTTTTGTTCACTGAGCTGAATGGTTTGGTCGTGGAGCTTTCATCGTCCTTCTGAACGACATCATCAGCACAAACTTCAGAGAGAAGTGAAGTGTTCGAATTTCTCCATATGTGTTTCACAGCTCGTTCTGTGCACCTCGATAAATTTAAGGTCAATAAGAACCAATCAACATCGAGGTGCACAGAACGAGCTGTGAAACACATATTGAGAAATTCGAACACTTCACTTCTCTCTGAAGTTTGTGCTGATGATGTCGTTCAGAAGGACGATGAAAGCTCCACGACCAAACCATTCAGCTCAGAGAACAAAACTCCACCAAAATCATCCACCTGAGCTACAAATCTTCTCCACCATCACAAATGACATTGTACATTGAAATGAAAAAAAATGTAAAAGCGATATCACAAAAGTTTAATGAAGTTACCGTAGTAGTAGTAGAACTACTACTATTATTACTTTTATTAATATTGAAGGAGTATTCTGTTTCATTGACAGCAAAATTCGACCTAAGGCCTCCTCACGGCACTGCTGAGTAGTAGGAGCAACCTTGCTAGCCAAATTAGACGGTCGATGAAGATCGAACTGATCACCTACTGTTTTATCTTTCATAGACTCGGGATCCACATCGAGGTTCACTTAACCGCACTAAGCCACCCGATGTGTATGTTTATGTATAAAAATTACAGAAGTCATCGGACCTATGTATTCCATGTACGTATGCATATGCAAAGGGTGCATGTGTGGTGTTGTACAAAGAAAACACTAGCTAAAATACTGTCTACCCTATGCCTAATAAAATCAGCGGTTTAATATATCGGGTGGAAGACATAATAAAAAATATGGTAGCAAATACTAGGCAGAGGCGGCCAACAATCTCCCCCGAGAGAATGCTTATGCTGTGTGTGTCAGGAAGTACTGGAGCGGTAGCCATGTGCTGAATGATACGCGTGTAATGTATAAGAGATAGTCTGGTGTAGAGAATGCGTTTCCAAGGGAGTGGTGAACATATACCCTACCAGGTGGGTGAACATATATATATATATATATATATATATATATATATATATATATATATGCTATGAGATGCATGGGGTAAAACCTGTGTGTTACCGGTGTGCATGTAACGTATATTTGCTAACAGGGTAGGTATACCTGTAGGTAAACCAATGAATATTCGGATGAAAGTACGTGTGTCACATCCTATGTATGTAGACTATACCTATCCAGGGTAAGTAATAACCGAAAATTCCTTTACTTGCTCTTATTACGATACTGAGATACACGTACAGACCTACGGAGCCGCAGTTCTCCACAAAACCACATTCATGCGGTGTGTTTGTGAGCCGTGAAAACCTGGAATACTTTCCAGAAGGGCCTATATGCTTCACTGGAAAACGCTTTACCAACCAATCTAGCTGGAACACCATTCTGTTTGAGTATGACAGTATTAATAAACTGTGATTGGACTTACGTCTATTAGTCAAATAGACAACAATGGATCTTCTTAGCTTAAACAGTCGGTTAAAAAGTAAGTAATATAAAACAAAAAAACTACCAAGTGTCTAGTAGTTTTAGGTATTTTATAAAATAACAGATAATGTTGATCTTACATATCTATATATGTCTACCGATCGAAACATTTTGAATAACTGTAACTGTCTGCTCTAATACAGAATGATTTACTCAGCATAAAAACAACTGACTTAATTAGTACATTGGAAAATCAGTCCCTAGAGAATTTAGTGTGGCTAGAAATTGTACATCTAGAATGGCCATACATTTTATAAAGCTTTTATCACATTTTGCTAATAAATTGTAGTTCTACTGAATAAGCAAGTAATCAGTAATAACATTGGATTCATATAATCATACTAAACTTTTCTATTATCTGATTAGTTATTTCATTCAAATTCATATAATGTACTAATTGTGCGGAAAATAACCATCCCAGTTTTGTGACAAATATCACCCACTGGCAGCGGATGATGATTATGCAACTTCAAGAATCAAGTGAAATTAGAATTGCTAAGGATCAGATACTAACACAATCGTTTGAAGGTTGACCGCTCCTTGTTAGGCCTAAAAGTCCTGAGTTAGACTTCTGGTGGAGTTGTGAATGCTCACTTCAGAAGTATCTCATACTAGGACAAAATAACCGTTCAGTATTTCCTAATTTTCAATGTGTATTTAACTAAGGTCAATCTACGACGTAAAACTAATTTGTTGTTATTAACATAATTATTATTAATATTTATTTTACCTTATTTGAATCAGACGGATCACATTCAATAGCCGTAACACGACAGTGACGACCTTTTGCAGTACCAGATTTGATCGTTATAAAAGTTATATACGATAGCTGTGAAATTCAACAATAAAACAAAAACATAAAATTACCCAGATAGAAAAGAAAGGGAAGCTATGAAGTCTCATAAAGATAAGTGAACACTAATGGTTCAATATCACAGGATTACTTGACAATGTTACCTAGGAAAAAATATACCACGTTAAACGTAGTTGATCATCTATCTCTACTACTGTATTATTGCATGAAGTTACGTTTTAAAATACCACTTAAAAACAACAATGGCAATTTTTATGTGTGGAATTGTGACTGGGTTCAACCCCCTCTACCCAAACCAAAGAACTTTATGATTTCAATGAAATCAAATCCACAACCCCATACTGAAAACATTATTTTGATCGAAAGGTTGCCAGCGATTAACCATGCAATCAAAAGGGGGAAAATAATGTAGATTGATACAAGTTGTAAATTTAACTTAAAGGTAGCGCAAAAACCGCGAGATCTGAAGGTCCTACATCCCATCGTTAACAAAATTATGAATGCTAATGCTGACATGTCCTAATATTGGGATGAATCAGCTTTCTATAATCCTTCCTAATATTTATCAGTTCTTTAACTAATATCAAACAATGATGAAATTCAACATTAATGGCAAATTATTAAAAGGCATAAAGTATAACTAACCTCACTATTAAAAAATAATACACGACCATCATATGTGCCGACAACAACTTTAGTGCCTTCACAAGCAAATGTTGCACAAGTGATCACTGTTTTGGGTCCAACACCACCACTTCCCTTTGATGAAAGACCCGGTAAGGATGTTGTATACTGTGAACCAGTATATGGATTAGAACGTGTAAAAAAGTTAGTGACAGTATTTGTAGACGATGAATTAGTTGAAACTGGTAAAGCACTAGGCACAGGAACTTCAACCCAAAAACGAACTTTTTTATCTGGTATATTCCATAGCCGAAGTTTTCCATCCAGACTACCAGAAAGAAAATAACGATCATCCTAAGAGAGAGAGGGGACAATTATTAAAGATGAAAGAACGCTAATTAGTTTAGCGATATTATACGTTTACGAAGTGACCACCTTAAATACCTGAACAGCTCAGCTGAACCTATCGAACTTGAAACATTATATGCAAACTTACCCAAAGATCATACTCCAACAATGGAGAAAATCGGCAATGCCATCGGACAAGTAAAAAGTGAGAAAGCACAAGGACTGGACAGGATATCAGCTGAAGCACTGAATTCAGATAAAAAGCTAACTACAGAAATATTTCACATTATTTTCAAACGGGTTTGGGAGGAAAAGAGGGTACCACGAAACTGGAAAGAGGGATACCTCACCAAGAAACAAAAGAAAGGAAAGCTTAGTAAGAAAACTACAGAGGATTCACACTATTGACTGACAAATCTTCTAATTGAACGCTTCTAGTAACCCTCAGGCAAAATCTACGCAGCGCCTTGAACATGAGAGGAAAGGTGCGAGATATATGAGAAACACTTTACTCTAAGGTTCATTTATGTACAGAAAACCTAAGGTTTTTATAGTATTTTAGATGGCCTTGGGTTTTCGGAAAATTCTGAAACGCTACTAAACATATTAGCAGTATGGGTAATCATCCAATCGAAAACGCGATAAGTGACTTTTCACTTTTTAGATGTTTCTGGCAAACTTCTGGTGAATGCCGATTGGATAAGATGCTTCTAAGCGTTTTCATAGCTTCTTTAGGCTTTTTTCGAGTTTTCTTGATCTCCCCAATACTGACAGTCCCAGGCAAAGCTTTCAACAGTGTTGCTGAACCGAACGAATAGGAGCAAAATTTCAAGATCAACACGATAAATTTAGTAAGGACAGACCAAAACACAACATTGGATCATTATCAAATAATCAAATATGGATGGAGTTTACCATTATAAATTAAATTCCTTGATTATGAGCATGGAATGCAGTAGACACTTTGGGTTCAGCTGGATGATTCGGATTTTGCAGATGACTAAACTGTACTATATTATACATAGAAATAAGTTCAGACGAATGTTGCCAGTGTAACAGGATCTTCCGCATAAGTAGGCTTCAATATCCAAAATAAAAAAACAAGGTCCAGAAGTGCAAGGTAGTGAGCAAGAACCAAAACAGACTTGATAGTAAAGTTCTGGAAGAGGTAGAAACTTTTGCGTACCTGAGCAGCATGATTGGTAAACAGGGGGAATCTGATACAGATGTCAAGGCAAGGATTGGCAAAGTGAGGGCAGTGTTCTTGAAATCGAAGGATATCTGGAACTTAAAATGACTGTCAGCCAACGCCACAGTCAGGATTTTCAATACAAACGTTAAAAATGTTCTATTGTACGGAGTTGGAACTTGTAGAATCACTACCATCATCAACAAAAAGTACGAGTGTTCACAAACAGCTGTCTACGCAAGATACTTCAGATCCACTGACTAGAGACAACCAACAATAACCCATTCTGGCAGGGAACAAACCAGCTTGGCAGCTAAGGCAGAAGTTAGGGAAAGACGCTGAAGGTGGAAAGGACGCACTTTAAGAAAAGCAGTAAACTCCACCATAAAACCAGGACTGACTTGAAACCCTCAAGGCAAAAGGAAGAGGCTGATCAAAAAAAATTGTGTCTATAATCGTAAGAAGAGTTTATTGAAGATCACTGGTTGGCGCCCTATGTATATCCCCGACAGAAAGAGAGAAGTAAATAAGCGATTTAAAATAAGTAAGACTATTATAAATAATGGTGTCAGAACACGAAAACAACCATCAACAACATTTAGTTTAATCTTATTGATATGAGGAATAACTAATAGACAAGTGGTAATTTACAGGACATTTTATAAGATAGTAAAGTCCATTAATCTAAGCGAATACTATTTTTTTATATCAAATATATATATATATATATATATATATATATATAATGTATACCTTTGGATGAAATACAATTGTTGGCACTGTATCATTATGACTAAATACACACAGGCATTCACGTCGACTAATATGCCATAATCGTACTTGATGATCCATACTAGTAGCTAGAAGGAATAAATTTTTAGACCATGCCAATTCAGTAACAACACCCTCATGACCTCTTAAAACCAATAATGGTTTTGAACGAAATACAGTCCTACGTTCTCGATGTAAATCATTAATTGTAGGCAATAATGCCGTTGTTGTTGTCGATGGTGGTCCTGGTGCTGTCGTTATTCCAGAAGGCTTCGTTCTACTATTTTTTGTACTACCACAGGAGGATAATGGTGAAGGGAAGTCATCAGTTAGACCCAGTACAGTAGAATATCCTGGTGCAGAACTGCTACTAGACGCTCCATCCTGAAATGTAAGTAAACAAAGATAAACAAAATAGTCAAATTAAAACAGATATACCTAGCCAAATTTATTTTACATGGTTATTTAAGATGTACATACAAATGAGCTGAAATGATTACAATGAAAAAAATTTTTATACTGATCAACGCTTAGCGTTTAGGCTAGTATTATCAAATAGTATCAAGTGGATTTAATCTACAAGTTGGAAACTTTTTTTTTCTTGAGGGAAAATTTAGTAAAATTTCACTTGTCAAGATTTGCCTAGTTGTATCAAGTTATATTGCCTATCATACTTAAAGGTTAGTTTTCTTCTAGTTACATTTTGAATAGCTACCACTAAAATTTTTATTACCCACTAATACAGACAACAATTTTTAAACTCATCAAGTTTCAACACATCAGTCTGATGGTAATTCATTATTCGACCGGTAACCAAACTTTAAAAGATAATGCTAGACACCTACCTTCCCAAATATTGTAAAATATTAACTGAATCATACGTAAGGTAAGTAACTAAGAGTAGGGTTAAAAGAGAGTCGTTCTACATAGCAAACACATTGATTTGAGAAATTAAATAAAGCTAATCACTGGACGAAATAATTGGAATAGAACTATGAATCTATCGTATAAAACTAAGTTTTTAAAACTGCTCTTCTCTTCGTTGGCGGTGACGCATCAAATGATCTAATTTGACCAAGAAAAATGTTAGAAACTTAACGAAAAGTGAAGAAGCTTGTAGAGATTAGTCCCATTTGCAGGTAGTACAGTTAAGGTACCACTGCAAATCGGAAAGCATTGGACAGCTATTTAATCTTATTATAATTCTCAGTAGCGTTTCAATACAATGGTTTTATAGCTAAGCGTTGTTGCGAAAATCGTAGAACCTGGATTCGATCTCAAAAAGATTTATAGATGTGCAATGCCGATAACCTTCATACAGAAACGAAACAGCTGCACAGTTTCGTTGTTCTCAGTGATATTTTAACTGGAGTAAATATACAACGAACATTATCTACAAATTCATGGAGTGGTTAAAAATATCTTTAGATTGTCAATACAGGTAAATATTGCACCAAAAGTACACATTCACTAAGTTTAATATAAACAAATATGATTAAAAAACATATCATGAGACTTACCGCTTCACTAACATCAGTTTTACCTGATGTTGATATTGTAGTTGATGCTAAACTTAATGAATCAAAACGATTCTCTTCATCTAAAGTTGCATTTGACGTAGTATTATTTGAAGTGTGGAATTCATTTGGCATAAATCCACCAACTGATCCATATTTTGAACTACTACTGGGTGGTGGAGCTAAAAAGGTCAGAAATTTACGAAAGAGAAAATGTGTAGTTCTAATATTACCAGTTGGACAACAAAAAAGTATATATTTCTTGTTCTTTTAATAACCAAAGAGAAGATTAAGAAAATATCATATTTAATTTAATACATCATTTACCAGGCACATATTTATTTACTTGGCTTCAAGTCACACTCTAAGTATAAAAGCTAGTGATACTACCCAGTTCCCAAAACTTAGGTACTTAGGGAGTTTCAAGCCTATGACTTAGCAAATAGAAGTCAAACGCCTTGATCACTAGGCTACAGCTCCAATTTGCTCTTACATATAATTACAGAGCAAAAAAACTGTTAACGATTTCTGAAAAAAAAACTTGGTCAATAATTAATCAAGAAAAATTGTAAAACATGTGAATAACAATAGTATATATATGGTATCTCAACTTATTAAAAACTGTAAATCATAAAAGTACAGTAGCAGGTGACTATATTAGCAAAGTAAGCTATAAAATGAATTGCTTTGTTTTCCTTGCACTGTCCTTCATATTCAAATGATTACTGAAAGTAGGATTTGGTAGTCAAACATGTTTCGTTGAGTTATCATTTCAAGTTCAGGGCACAGTCAAACAACGAAAAAATGAATCAACAATTTCAATTCCTTTCCAGTAGTCTTAGTGCTGCTAACTTCTGATATTTCTGCTGCTCAGTAAAACAGAAAATACTGAAGAGGAACAATTTGTTCTTATAGTTGATCCGCACTGTTTAGTACAATGCGATCTGTTTTTTAATATCAAATAAATCCAATCAATTATTTCAAGCAGTTGCAAGTTTGTAACCCCCGTAAGCAATTTAGATTAACAATGACTTTATTCACTGGATAATTGTTTGAATATCCCTCTTGTCACTAAAAGTTTTCCACTCTATTTCTATGTCGACCAGCAATACTGGGGAACTACAAATATTGAAATGTGTTTCAAAAGTCTTGATAAATTCGAGATAGAAATCTTAGAATTTAGGTACATATACACTTAGATTATATGGTAAAGCTTGTTTAAAAATGTAACATTTTAATATTTAAAGAGTCAACTTTAAATATCTTAGTATACATGGCATAGTTTGACAGATCATTTTAAAATTGTTATGTCCCACGGCCCGTCAAATATCATGTGACTTTTGACAGAACATCGACTTTTATAGCCTTGTCCCTGTAATAAATCAATGACACATCAGCCAGTACTAGCAGCCTCGAGTCAAATCGGAATCCTTATTGGTCCGTGGAAGAGTAATCTCTCACCTAGCCCTGCCCATTGAGTTCAGAACACAATACCCAATTCCAATGCATAAACAGTATATTTCAGACATACAAACAGACCAGATAGCATGACATCATAAAATGGAAAATAATAACCATATAAAATCAAGCTAAAAGTGGCTGAGTATAGGAGAATGTAACTAATAAATTGAGAATAAATTAAGAATGATAAATCGTATAATAGTAGCCAATAGGTCAAATGAAAGCCTATGATATATATATATATATATATCATTCTTAATTTATTCTCAATTTATTAGTTAGCTTCAATTGACTAATGATTTCAACTATTGAAATTACTAAAATCTACACGAAACCCCTTCTGATAGTAATCATCTGCTCACTAGTGACTGACTTCAAGAGACACTCCTGGAGTTCTAGTGAGAAGCCGTGACCAGTGGAGTTCAACTAGGTCTGTTGTGAGATATCAGCTCACTGAAGACAATGGTGACGGTGACGTGGATTGGTTGAAGTTAAACATTAACACCGCTGGATGCCAGCTCAGTGGTATAATGGTTAGGCGCTTGCGTGAGAGACTGGTAGGTCCTGGGTTCGAATCCCGCGGGGTGCAGGATCGTGAATGCGCACTGCTGAGTTTCATACTAGGACGAAACGGCCGTCCAGTGCTTCCAGGTTTTCCATGGTGGTCTAGCTTCAATTGAATCATAATTTCAACTATTGAAATGACTAAAATCTCCAAAAAACCCCTTCTGAAAATGATGAAGTGTTCTACAATTTACATGATACCAAGATACACTGTGCATAAAGTTCACTCAATAATTCACAATAATTGTAGAAGCAAATAACAAATCGATAAACGAAAATAGTGCGCATAATACTGAGAAGGTCACGTAATCATGAATATTTGATTTCGCGTCCTTCCTAATCAATTCTATTCATTGTTCAAAGGCAAATTAAATAAAACACGAGAACAATCATATGATAGTAGTGTACTGATTTAATTCACTGAAGCTAAAACTCACGCAATTTATGAAATATAAACGTCAAAGGCTTGTGTGTTTACATCATTTCAACAAATAGTAAACATTATCAGGGAAAAAGTATATAAGTTTATCACTATAAACAGCATTTAGCTAATCGAAGCAAAATTATGTACTAGTAAGTATTTCATTGTAAAATAAACTTTTGAAATATAAAATTGTTACAACTACAGTACAAAATTATAACCAGTGTATCAATTATATGCACCATTTTGTGGCTTAGAAGTAGTAGTAATCATAGTACTAGCGAGGACAAGTTGATATATAATAGATTGAGAAATCAATTTTTAAGTAGGTCAATGATAATGAGGATAGCTGTGCTTCATTATGAATACAGATAATAGTTGAAATGAAATAATGTATAAGCAAAACGATAGTACAAATTATTAAACGAATAAATGACAAACTGATCTTACACAAGATAAAATATATCAAAGAACACCTAAACAAACGTTTAATAAATAAACATACATAAGAAACAACAGTATCACATGAGGTACGTTTAGAATAGCAAGAAAAACATGATCAACTAGTCAAAAGCCTCTATATGTCTCATTGTAGAATATCCTCTACAGATGGTGTATAAATTCAGTAATATATCCCTCTATTATTAAATACATAACCAATCGCTGTTTAATCATCGTTTACTAGCTATCATTTATATTTGGTGTATTTCTGTCCAACTTCTACAGACAACCAACTTTAGCATCGTGTTTTTTAATTTTGTTTATAAATTGACAGTAAAGCTGAATAATACCCCACCCCCCAACGAGCTTGAGATCTTAAACCATTCTATTCAATCCGGAGACAGAAAAGATAAATGACAAACTTTGATAGAACACAAAGTTAAGATAAGCATTTTAGGAATTTCGCGTTATAGCTGCTGTTAATTCGTGATAATGACTCCAAATTTAATCCCTATTCCCATTTCCTAACACTACCTCCCAACCCGACTGTAGCTGCTACCATGACGTGGTGACAGACTCGCCTATCGTAATGACTCAACCGAGCTATATTGGCTGGAACACATGTTCCTTTAGATTCTAACATACCTAGCAGGTTGGTTGGAGAACAGTAAACCTAAAACCAGCAACTTAAGGTCTGAGGGCGTAGTCATACTACTAAGTGCAGAGAGATGTGACAGTAGTAAGGTGCAGCTTCGTGACCTTATCATAACGAAAGGAATGGGTTAGAAAAGGTTAAGTCTGAAAATGTCATACATTATCCTACCTTCTCATATACTTTCATCTCCGGAGGTACGGTTTTTTGAGGCGCGGAGCTTAAGCATCAAAAACGTTTCGTAAGTGTCGTGCGTGACTGCTTCAAACAGTTGTCCCTTGGGCTCTATGGTCACACTCTCGAGTCACTAAGACCACCACTAAAACAGTTCTCTTCAGGTCCCTCAAGGAGAAATATCCCTTCTTCCTTTCTTGAATCATACCTGAACACTAATCTTTCTATTGCCATTCATGCTGTTACTACCTCTGCCACTCTTGAATTTCCTCTAACAACTTCATCACATAGTACTAATGGGGTATGGCAACTTAAACAGATGTACATTCGTGTCAGGTTATATGTTAGACTTACTGACTGATTTATATTTCGAATATAAGCCATAACCTCGAAGCATTTTCCATGTTCACAATCAGCTCAGCAGTATAGTTTAGTCTTACTAAATCGTCTTATAGTTTGTTACTTTAAACATTTCTAAGTGATATAAACAGTAATAGAGTTTAAATGCTTGACCGGCTGTACAATGACTTCCCAGACATCGACTTGTATTGCTGATCTTGATTTAACAGTAACAGAGTTTATGTTAATTTACTGTGATTGACTGATTCGTTAAATGCTAAATGCGAAGAATTTTTACGCTAGTTACACTGTCATTTTTTTACTTGGTTTAGTGTTTACTAGTTCCTATTGATTTGACCAAATTATATTGGATTTACTGTTTTGATGACATAGACTGTGGAAGCTGAGTGACATGGGTTCAAATCCCTTGACAAGTGTCAGTTCCCTCAAGATTACAGGTACACCTTGCTGATGAGTGCTGACTAGCACAAAACCTAGGTCTAGGTTTTCCTGCTAGCTATCTTCGACACCCCAATATTTTAACATATTGCATGCGATTCATTAATATTTGTGGGGACATTCCAACTTGATCGACAAGCATTTTCGGTACATATGAAAGAAATCTGCATTGTTCATTCAGATTTCAATTGAATCAAATGGTAGCCTAATGAATTTGAAGTCTCTGCGCATTTCTCCTAATCGATCTCGAAATCTAACATTAACTTCTGAGAACTACTAATGGGCTAATATTATATATATATTCTTATTGTATAACTATACAGTAACTAGATTATGTATACCTATATTCCTCTTATTATAAGCCTTATTTTTGGTCTATAGACTATTAATATAAAATTTACTTTTCTTAAATTATACCCAGTTTATTCATCACAGTCTCCCACGATCACAAACACTTTTTGGCTTGATCATGTACAAATGTTATTTCCTATTTTATGGTGTGACGTGGTCTGTTTGGCTGGTATATAAAACAAGTATGTTTGAAGTAAATGATTTGCATAGTGGAAACTGGTCCTGGTTTTCTGGAATCAACTTGTAGGGCTGGGAGGAAAAAGGGCCAATAGGGACGCTAGGCCGCTCAGAGCGGTCGAATATCATTGGCTTGGTACAGT